TATATATATATATATATATATATATATATATATACACACACCCACACATACTGCCCTACACTAATGGAAGAGACACTTTCAATTTTCGACATTGTTGTTGAATTTTGAAGAGTATAACTATAAACATGTAACTTATATGGATTACTTTGGTTGGCAATAACTCCATAAAATTTCTCAAACATAACTTAAATATTTATGGAGATATGGACATTTTTATGGAAAAGCTAATTTTTTTGTCTAATGGTTTTTTGCTATAACTATAAAAACGTATTCAATAACATTAAAGAAATTTCGAGTAATTTTCAATTATTTATAGCATAATAATTATAAAATGTGAAGAAAAAAAATAGTTGTAAACTGCGCAAGATATGAGAATGTAAAATAATTACTTTATGCTGGGCATGCGCGAAAAAAAAATTAAAATATTTTTATTTTTCATAACTTTTAATGAAAATTAAAATATTTTTATTTTTCATAACTTTTAATGAATCATATTTTGCAACTAATGTAAAAAGTCAAGTTTAAATAACCTATTATAGTAATTGTGGCACATTTTAAAAAAAAAGCTCGAAATGATAAGGGGTTTTCACTTGTGAAATTTCAAATCATTAGACGAAATTTAATGACAAATTAATATAATAGTCAATTATCGTACATACACCAAAAGAGATGGTATAAGGAAAGGAAACGTGTGAAAGAAAGCATACTTTTATGAGGGATGATCCCTCATAATGCCGGTGTCATTTTTAATAATTATGTTATTAAATTTTTCATTTCATTTTTGATTATAATACCAGTGTACAAAACTCCTTATCATTCAGAACTGTCTGTAAAGTACAATTTTATTTTCGAAAATTGCTTGAAAGTAGTTAAATTTTCAAGACATCCAAATTTGATTTTTTTTCCTCAGTTACAAAATACAATTCACTTCAAAATTATGAGTTTTCTTATGAGTTTCTCCCATGCATTATATGAGAGAACGAAAATGCTGATATCTTGCGCAACTTTTTAAGATATTTTTTTCAAGTTTTAAAATAACAATGTTGCTATTAATTAAAACATTTTCGAAAAATTTAGTTCAATTTTACTTAATATTTTTAAGGTAATAGCAGAAAAAAAGGTAAGAAAAAGAGTAGGGGAGAGTGGGGTCAATTGTAACATTTGTTACTTAACNTTGACCCCACTCTCCCCTATTGTTTTTTTTTTCTCTTAAAAATGCTATGTCTTCTTAAATATTCAAGACAAGTTTAAAAAATTATATGCAATTATTGCTATTAACAACCAAAGTAATCGATGAAAGTTACCAGCTTATTGTTATACTTCTTTACGTAAAAGTTCACAATTCAAAAACACTTGTTTTCGTTAGTAATTAATTGCCCTGTTTTTCAAACCTCTGAAAGATTTTAAGCTTTCTTGATAAGTAATGGGTAGAAGTCGCATGAACTAAACAACTTAAAACTTAAAAATTACGTCAAAGTATCTCTTGAGAAATTCAAAAAAGTGTCAAAAGCTGAACCACAACTGTGTTACATGTAGTATATATGCTTAATTGTTTTAAAAATGGTAGTGGTCAAAAGGATTAGAAATTAAGTTTATAAATGCAACAGAAATAATTCTGTTTTTTACATGGTATTTTTACTTAATGTGTTCTATTTAATTTGTTGTAAATTTTTTGAGTGATCCGCACACTATTGTATTGATATATTTTGCTTTGGCTATATTGATACAATATTAGAAAGCACTCCTTTTTGCTGATATAATCGTGTGAGCTGGTGAAATGAATATATCTTTTTATTTTCTGGATTTTATTAATGCTTTTCCTTTTCTTTTCCGGATTTTTTCCCGAATTTTTAGCATTATTATTTTTCATTTTACCTTTTTTCATTGTTCGGTAATTTTTTCCATGTTTTCTCTACATTTTGATCTTATTTTATTAGTTTTATTTACTTGCAGCTCATGCGCAGTAAATAAAACTTTTTGTTTTTCGTAATTTTCCTCGTTTTTTTTTCGCTATGTCCTTTTTATATTTATTTATTATGCTATATATACAATATTGGTATATGTATTTTTAAGGAATTTTTTATTTTTGCTCCATGTCGAAAAGTTTGTTTTCTGCTTTCCCTTAACTCAAACTCATTTTCAATTGGATATTTATTATTTACCGATATAGACGCATTATAAAGAGTAATTTTTTATCTTAGGCTAATTATTCTTTATTTAAAAATATCGCATTTATTATCGTAAATTAATGTGTCCTGATGAAAATCTTTACGCTTTCCCATTAAAGAATTTTCTATTTTATTTCATTTTACTCTTCTTCTTTGTGTTTATATATA